TGCGCTCAAGACCAGCTGCTCAAAGCAAAGCCTACAGCCGCCACTGTGGCTCCCGTCCGCTCCGCTCTGAGTTCCTTGGAGATGGTAGAGAGCATGCGCCAGATGATTAAATTCAAAGCATCAAAACATGCATAAATTATCCATGGTTTCCGCAGATCTTTAAAAATAATTACAATCCATTAATTTTTTTTGTTGATTTTTTCATTAATTTCATAAATTTTTATGGGATCAACATATACCGAACCGAACCGAAAACCGTGACCACGAACCCGTGAATCGAACCGAACCGTGGATTTTGTGAACCGTTCCACCCCTAATATATATATAGGGGGTCAAGTGTTTTTTTTTCCTTCAAAATAACATGCAATATATTTCAGCTCATGACTTTTTTAGTTCAGAAATACAACAAACACTACAAAAACAACAGCATCGTCCTTTTGATAAAGAATTACTACATTTACATTTAACAGGCAGTTACTTTCTATTTACTCTACTTTCTATTGTCTAACGTTAGACACAATGTCGACGTCTAACTTAGTCAGTATCGGTTTGAGTCAGTCCAAGATGGTCAGACTAATGTTACGCTACATACGTATATATTGATTTTCTTGGTTAGTTCATCCACTGACTGGTAAATTACCTGTGGAACATCTTCCTACAGCCGGCAAACTGCTTGTTTTTGCAGCCAAATGCTGCATATGTAGGCATTTTTACTATGCATCTCCATGGGGAGTACCAATATGGCGGCTGATGGTTTCATTTTTTTTGGCCAATCAGCAATCCAGTGAATAAATTGAGATCAGTGGGTCTATCTCCCATTAAAATGAAGACATTAATGCTTCAGGAAATGCTCGTTCCATCAGGGGAACAGCAAAGGATTCTTATAAATAATATAGAAACAGATGTGGAATATTTTAACCTTCCAGTGAAAGGCCAATAAAAATAAAACATTTCACATCGACCTGATCCTAGGTTGAAACTGCAATCATGAAGCACTTTATTACAGCAGCTTAGAGAAGATTAGCGCAAACAGAAAGTCCTGCAGATCCGATGGGTTTGTGTCTGAATCCCAGCAGATGCTGCTGCGCATAGAGACTATTTTTAACCGGCAGCCTCCTCCAGAAGCTCAGAGAGCTAAGCCATTGTTTCTTGGAAAATCCCACGCAGTGATGATGGACGCCGCTTCTTCTGGACATGATGAATCTGCTGAACAGGAGCATATCACGCTGAACCTGCTCATTCCTTACTCCTACCTCATCTTTCTAATCCTCCTTCGCTCTCTTCATCCCAGAACCCTGCCTTTAATTAAGAGCGGTGGAACTTCAGAGCTTCTGCCCTTTTCTGACTGAATCTAAATGCATTCAAAAAAAATAGCAGAAGATGAGGAAGTGCTTAAGTTTCATCATGTTATTGTGTAATATGGGAATAAACCACAGTTTTTAATACTGGTCGGGCTTTACTAACATGACTGACACGCTAAAAGAATATCTTACATCGGCTGATACCGACGTCAATGATGAAACGTCAGACTAAAACACCTAGAGACATTATGGGCCTTACTTACCGGTACCATCAGCCCGTACTTCTCTCTCAATCTGCAGGTTTACTAGTGGTTCCTAGAATTTCTAAAAGTAGAATGGGAGGCAGATCTTTTAGTT